TTTTCCTGAATCTCAGGAGTAAAGACACAAACAGTTTCCTAGATTAAGATCTTGTTCAGTAGAATTGAGGTGGAGGTGAGTACATAGTATATTGACAGCTTGTGAAGGTAGAGCAGGGGCCAGTGGGCTGCACTCTCCTGAGTTAGCTGTTAGAGGAGTCAGTGCTGCCCAGTCAGTGGGGGCAGACATGCCATGTCTCCTACTCAGTGCCTGCCTATTAAAGCTCTGAATGTGGTCTGTTTGCAATACTCCTCTCCTTGTCGGATATCCTGCTGTAAAATAATTGTAAGGAGCTAGCTTCTAAGTTATGTAGACTTGACTAAGAGAACAAAAAACTTCCTTGACTGTGTGAATACTTTCACACCAGGGCCCCACAATGTGGGAGACAGTTACCCAGTTTACCAGTACAAGAGGAGCTTGTGCCCAATAATTGATTAATACACTGCTGGGGTTTTGGGGACAAATCCCACTATGGAAAAGGGGAAGTGCTATGGTTTCACAAGGGTTTTACAGGAATGATAGTGACTATTCAAAAGGCAGGTTTCCCCAAAGTTTTGCAAGTAGGGTTTTTCTTCAACGGAATATGTTGGTCATTATTCCGATGGGTTAGCCTGGTGAATTTGTCAACTGCAGTCTCACTGTATGACCTTGTGGACCACAGCAGTACTGTTCACAATCCCATGTCTCCTAAGTAGCTGTTGTTTGCTTGTCGGCATTCAACAATTCAAAGTCAATCAATACTATCTATATAGGATCCAGATTCCTTTTGTATTTCCTATCACATGGGTTTTTCTTTTATATTACTTTTCCTCTCTCTTTAAAGGCTTAATTATTTTTAAATATTTACTTCTTTCTATGACTGTCCATACCTTTTCTTTCTTTTTTATCCTTTCTTTCTTTCTTTCTTTCTTTCTTTCTTAAGTCTATGCACATTATAACCTTTACATCTGAACCTCTCTTACTGTGTCTCTCTAGTCTTTTTTGTCTGCATGAGTAAAAAACTTGTAAGCAGTGAGGCTAGGACTTCTGTACAGATTGAGTGTCTGGCTGGGCCCCTTTCTTGGGTTGGGAAAGCCAGGCCTAAAGCTCATGACCCGGTTGGAGGTTTGTGACCAGGAATTGCATTAAATCTTTGTAGATATGTAAGCTGGTGCCTGGGCTGCCACAGACATTTTTTAGTTTGTCCAGGGAGAAAGGGTGTTAGTATATAAAACTACATTTATGCCCGGAGTTGGTGGCACACGCCTTTAGTCCCAGCATTTGGGAGGCAGATGCAGGCGGATCTCTGTGAGTTCAAGGGCAGCCTGGTCTACAGAACGAGTTCCAGGACAGCCTCCAAAACAATACAGAGAAACCCTGTCTCGAAAAACCAAAAAAAAAAAGAAAGCTACGTTTATGTGGTTAGTTATACTAGAAGTCTATAATTGATAAATGTAAAACAAGGAAGAAACACTAGAAGTTTATAATTAATAGGTGTTTAAAAAGGGAAGAAACACTATGCATTAAGAGACACTGAGCAACAGTGTCTCTTAAAGGAACAGTGTCCTTTTACTTCCTGTTTTTTTTTTCCAAGCTTTCTCAGGTCATGTGGAAATTCAGGAGCCCTGCATTGTTATGCCAAAATGTAGTTCTTTTATTACTCATTTCACTCTTTGTTCCTTCCTCTTCTTCCCAGATTTTTCTTCTTCTTTATTCTCTCTGCCTGCCAACCCTGCCTATCCTTTCTCCTATCTAGCTGTTGACCATTCAGCTCTTTATTAGACCATCGGGTGTTTTAGACAAGCAAAGTTACACAGCTTCAGGGTTAAACAAATGCAAAATAAAAGAATGCAACATATCTTTGCATCATTAAAACAAATGTTCCATAACATAAACAAATGTAACACACATTAAAATAATATTCCGCAACATATAAGCATTTATTTCTGTATGGTTATACATTTGATTTATTTTGAATTCTTATACCAGGCTTTTTCTTCTAGGCCACCAACCAGCTCCCAAATCATGACATGGAGACTTATTACTAATTATGAATGCTCAGCCTTAGCTTAGGGTTGTTTATTGCTAGCTCATAAAACCTAACCTGTTTCTTGTCATCTATGTTTTGCCTCAGGGCTTTTAACCTTTCTTCCTTCCTTTTTTTTTTTTCTGCCTACTTTATTTTGGGGGGGGTGTTGAGACAGGGTTTTTCTGTGTAGCCTAACTGTCCTGGAACTAGCTCTGTAGACCAGGCTGGCCTCAAACAGAGATCCGCCTGCCTCTGCCTCCCGAGTGCTGGGATTAAAGGCATGCGCCACCACCACCCAGCCTGTATGTCCTACTTTCACTACTTACTGTGTCTGGCTGGTTGGTGGCTGCCTGAATTTTGGCCCCAAGTGTGTCCCTCCCTTTCTCCCTTGATCTCTTCTCTCTTCCTTCTCAAGCCTGGCTTTCACCTACTTACTCTCTTTGCCTGCCAGCCTTGCATGTCCCTCTCCTGCCTGGCTATTGGCTGTTCACCTTTTCATGAGACCAAGCAGGTGCCTTAGGCAGGCAAGGTGAAACAGCAACACCTCTTTACATAGTTAACTGTAACACATAGGGTTTTTGGGGTTTTTTGAGACAGGGTTTCTCTGTCTTCTATCACATCTTTACATCATTAACAAAGGCAGCAGAAACAAATGTAACAAAAATTTGCATAGTTAAATAATTCCACAGCATAAACAAATGTAACACAGACCTTTGCCTAGGTAAAATATTCTACAACACTTGTTTTTAATAGAAAAATTTAGCTTCATTGTAGACATATGAATCATTATAGTAGTGTTTTCCCTATCCAAAGGAGATTTATTTTAAGAATCCCAGAGAATACTCGAAAACATGGACATGCCATGATTTTCTTACACATACAACCTGTAATAAAACATTAGCATGTAAATTAGCCAAGTCAGAGGTTAACAGCAATAATAGGTTGAGATAGTTATAACAGTGTATTTTAATAAAATTATATGACTATATTCTGTCACTCAAATACTTTCAATTTTTCATATAAAGAAATCACCTTATAGCTCTTCTTTGCCATGTTCAAATTGATAGTTTCACTGTTGTGCCCTTAGAGTTACTGGAACATAGACACTGTGTACCAGGTATCTTAATTAGGGTAATCATGACCAAAAGCAACTCAGGAAGGGAAGGGTTTGCTTGACTTACATGTGCTGGGACACAGTCCATTGAGAGAAGCCAAGACAGGAACTGAAGCAAAGACCATGAAAAGCGCTTCTTACTGACTTGCTCAGGACTTTGCTTAGCAGCCTGCCTTTTTATACCATCAGGACCACTCCCAGGAATGGTTCTGCCCACAGTGGGCTACGCTCTCCTATACCAGTTGTTTTTTGTTTTGTTTTGTTTTTTCTGGTTTTTCGAGACAGGGTTTCTCTGTGGCTTTGGAGGCTGTCCTGGAACTAGCTCTTGTAGACCAGGCTGGCCTCGAACTCACAGAGATCCGCCTGCCTCTGCCTCCCAAGTGCTGGGATTAAAGGCGTGCGCCACCAACGCCCGGCTCCTACACCAGTTGTTAATCAAGAAAATGACCAATAAATTTGCCCACAGGCCAGTCTGTTAGGAGCATTGGTCATGTAAGATTCCCTCTTTCAGGCAGTGATGGCACACACCTTTAATCCTAGCACTCTGGAGACAGAGGCATGTAGATTGCTGTGAGTTTGGTCTGCAGAACTAGTTCCAAGACAGCCAGTTTAACTGGATAACTCCACTTGACTTGTAATCGGGAGAATGAGTATGTGTACATTAGACAAAAGGAGACTATCTGAAGATATAGATGGCAGGGGACCCAAACCCAGGACTAAAGCCACAGATAGGGAGGACAGGTGCATTTGGTTTTCAGTGTTGCTACTGCTGCTCATTAAATCGGAATACTCAAATAATGTCACATTCACAGCAGCTTCAGAGAGAATATTCTTTAAAACAACAAAGACTTGAGGCCTGCAAGGCTCAGTATTTCTTTGTCTGATATAGATTCTCTTCTAGTATATTACTAATTCTTCCAGTATGAGTAAGTGGCTACTCAGCATTTAAGGTACATAGAGTGTAGGACTGTGTATGTGTGTGTGTGTGTGTGTGTGTGTGTGTGTGAGAGAGAGAGAGAGAGAGAGAGAGAGAGAGAGAGAGAGAGAGAGAGAGAGAGAGAGAGAGAGAGAGAGAGAGAGAGAGTGTATGGTCTGTCTTTCTGCATGTGTATGATTATGTGCAGGTATGTGTATGTGACCATGAAGGCTAGAAGCATTGGATCCCTGGGAGCTACAATTAAAGGTGGTTTGTGAGTTTACTGATATGGGTGCTAGGAACTGAACCTGGGTCCTCTGGAAGAACAGTAAATGATCTTAACTCCTGAGACATCTCTGCAGCCCCTTGTTTGGCTTTTTAAGCTCTCCAGATAATTCTGTTTCACAGTCAGAATTGCTAGTGCTGTGGCTATAAAATTGTGTTATTAACCCCTACAAAGTACCTAGTGTGCCTCCTATGGTAAGAAATTACTTGGTTTTCTTTAAGACATTCCCACTGAAAGATTGTTTTTTTGGTTTTTGGTTTGGTTTGGTTTGGTTTGGTTTGGTTTTTTTCGAGACAGGGTTTCTCTGTGGCTTTGGAGGCTGTCCTGGAACTAGCTCTTGTAGACCAGGCTGGTCTCGAACTCACAGAGATCCACCTGCCTCTGCCTCCTGAGTGCTGGGATTAAAGATGTGCACCACCAACGCCTGGCGAAAGATTGTTTTGAACTGAAAATTTAAGTGTTATTTTAGCAACTACATCATTTTACTGAATTTCAGTGAGATACCCTTATTCATGGTTGCTGGGTTTTCATTGTATCCTAACAAAATATTAAGTATAGGCTTGAAGATGTGGTTCAATATTAGAGCATCCCCTAAGTTCCATTCCCCACATGCAAAAAAATTAAACCTTTTTATTAAGTTCATATATTTTTCCTTTTGTTTCTCTCTTTCACACAGGCCAGTCAGTGGGAGGAGCTTTTTCCAGTGCAAAGACAGCTATGTCTTCATGGCTGTCCACTTTCACCACATCCACCCCTCAGAGTCTTCCTGAGCCACCCAACGGGAAGTCCTGAGGCCACCAGCAGAAGTTGCTTTGTTCTCTAAGGTGTAATGCTCCCTCCTCATCTGTTGCTCCCAGGGTCTCCTCTATCTACAGGTCCATACCCAGGGACCAGGATAGCAAAGTGTTTACATGGACGGTTGCACTCTGTCTAAATGAATGTTGCAGGATGCTGAACACATGAAGTCACAACCATAGCAGGACTAGATTTCCAGGTTGGGGGTTAAATTGACTACTTTTACTTCATTCTGAGCCTAATCAATGTACACAATGAACCTTCTAGTGAATTTTAAGTTCTGAGATTGTACATTTGTTTACGTAGAATTTTTACATATGTATATTTTGTTCTATTTTGCTGTTTAAATATTTAGATGGTCATTGTAATTTATATTGACTAAAATTAAGTTATATTACTATTGTACTTTCTCTGAAGTTAGCCCTACAATGTACTTGTAAAACATAGGGACTATGCATTCCAGCATATATTACTCTGCTGAGTTCTAGGATGAACTTTTGTAGGGGTGGGGCGTGGAGGGGACCTTCTACCCAGTAAACACATTTGCCAGCTCGTTTCTTCCCAGAGCTGTGAAAGTCAGGAGGGGAAAGCTCTAAAGATGAGTTGTCATTTGAGATGAATTTCTTTCTGGCAAAGTTGGTGTGAGGCAGCAAAGACGCCACTGTGCTTCCCCCTTGCTGGCCGTGACCATTCAGGGGAACAGCAGTGGTGGCTCAGGAGCACTGACGGGTTGGCACATGTCTGTAGGGCAGTAGTTTAATGACCCACGTGCCGGCATGATCAGCTCCAGCTATGTTGTAGTCTTAATCAGCACTTTGTTATCTAAAATGTGTGCCTTGTTTCTGTGTGTGAATGGTTGTCCATTGGATCCTGACAGATCTGCAGGCCTTCTCTTAGTCTTACTCTGCATTGAGTCTTTCAAAGATATATGACCTTCCTACTTTCCTGACTGAAAATCCTCCTTTAGTCAGATCTACCACCTTTAAAAGAAAAACAAAGTAACCAATAAAGGTTAAGTATAAACCACACCTTAGCTCACATTTAGAAAATCAAGAAGTGGGCCAGGGGAATGATTTAGTGAGTAAAAGTGCTTAATGTACAAACCTGACAACCTGAGTTCAGATCCCTGGAACCCTTAGAAAAAGCCACATCTATAATCCCAGTGTTCTATAGTGAGATGGGGGTCAGGACACTCTTCTGGAAGCTCACAAGCCAGCTAGCCTGGAGTATGCAGTGAATTTGCAGAAACAAGAGAGACCCTGCCTCAAAACAAGGTTAAGCAAAGACCAACTCTTGAAAATTGTCCTCTGACCTCTGCGTGGGTGGTGTGTCATTATACATGCTTGCACACGTGCATACATACACACACACACACACACACACACACACACACACCCTCAAATGATAGAAATGTAGGAAGCAAGGCAATGAATGAGCCTACAGCTATGCCCTGAGTCACTTTTTGGTAAAGTACAGCTAGTTTCATGTTACTGCAGGCATGAATTGCCCAACCTTTCATGATTTGTACACAGTTGGAGTTCATGTGTTTGTCATTTATAACTGTCTTTTGCTTTTCAGAGGATCCTTAATGGGTGTTCTCAGGGACTATTTTTGGGGAACAATCTGCCTTTTTAGTAACAGAAGACATGTGGAATAATCATTATATCTACATATTATTTAACAAGCATTGGGAAAATAAGGGGCCTAATTAAGGACACTTGATTATATTTCAGTTATCCCTTATGCCCTAAATACTATGAAAAGAACATAGGGCATAATCTAATATCTATAAAACTTTGCAATTTGCACTTCAACACAAAGCCACAAAATACAAGCTACTTCAATTGAGCATAATACCTTGAGAGAATCCAGTGACAATAAATTGATTATATGAGATAAATTGATTAATGGGAGAACACCATTCATTTGCTTCAGCCAGGGAATTTTTGAAAGAGAAGTAGTAAAACCACACAAAACTGGAAGGCATTTTAATCAGTGTTATACTGAACCTGTTGGGATTCTTAGATACCATTCTTGTGGCCGCAGCATGATAAGATACCTGTGGTAGTTGGCATTGCTAGGAGCCCTGCCTCATTAGCCAATAAGATGATGATTCATTCTTTAGTTTGCACCAGATTTGTATGACTGGGTAAATGCCTGCTGTCACTTAAAAAGCAATGCAACACACTCACCTTGGAATATGCTTGAGGAAAAAAGTTAAATGAAATTTAATTCTGATTTTGTTCATGGATCCCCCTGCATAGGATCTCACAGTCTGACTACACAGGTCTCTAAATTGCTATCCTTCTGCCTCTTGTCTCCCAAATAACTGGGATTGTAGGAGTTTACCTCTCTGCTAGGCTTAAGTGTATATTATAATTGAATCTTCTCTCAATGTAAATTAAAACTTAACTCTTAAAATGGTCACTTTACTGGCTTTCAGCATATAATAACTTACCTTGGAATATAAAACATCTTAGAATGGTCAAAAGACCATGTATGCCTGCTTCCTTCAGGTTCAGGGAAACATTGACTTTTCAAGGGCCATAGGCCATTTTCTTGTTGGCAGGGGCACTGCTGCAGCCAGTGTTGTAGAGAATAGGAGATACGGCTTAGCCCAGGGAGCCCACATACTGTTTGAGGCACCAATGAGAGACTAACTGATGAGTAGTCTCCAAACACTGGCGCCGTAGCCCTGGAACCAATACCAGGCCTTTTGACTCTTGCCAGCAGAGTCGTGACTGTTGACACCCACACTTTTCTCCAGTGACCTACGATGCTTTTGTGTCTAAGAACCGAGCGTTTGTAACTAGACCTGCGGAAGTGAACGTGAGCGAACAATTTTCAGGGTTACAGGATGCAGACATTGATAGAGCTGCACTGCTGTCCAGGTGGTTTTGAGGAAGCCCTTGACATTCCTAGCATAGTGACAATGACATTGATAAGGGAGAGACTCAATGCTGTGAATCTATGGGCTAGATGAGTAGAAAGTCTGAAGCTGCAGGTAACAGAGGTGGAGAGCAGTTTTATATGTATGTTTGATTCATAAAGATACGAATTGTCCATCCCTAAGTCCATTCATGATTCACTAGCTCCCAAGCCTGAAAGCAGTTCTCCTCTCCTTTTGAAACAGCAGGGGCTTTCCTGAACAGTGGGGCCTTCTTGACCACAGGACAGACTTCCTCTACCCTGTTGCTTTCCAAGTTTTGAACTAAGCAGTTACTGTTCTTTAGACTAGCTTTCCTTAGAAACTCAAGTAGAAAGCAAATTACGAAAAATGAGGTGTTGCATGGCTGGGGAGCAGGCCCCTCAAAGTCTGAATCAGAGTATTTTGACATCAGTGTTTAACGTATTTCAGGTATGAGTTCTTTAGTGGAGTTAGAATTGTAATCAGCTATTTACATTTCTAAATGAAGCTATAACACTCCTTTCCTGGTAGGCAGGTTTTATTGAAGCTGTATATTCTACGGAGAAAATTTCGTGGGAGTTAACAGCCAGTGGCCCCTTTCCCTCCCATGTTGATAAGTCTCGAAGTCCTGCAGGCCATCATCCTGATCTATACCCACAGGCAGATGTCTGCTGCAGCCTCCACAGAAGGCAGCCTGCTAGGGCAGAAGCTGCTGACTGGTCTATGGTGCAGCCTGTTAGTGTTTGGGGCATTGCTTGGGATTTCTGAAGTGGCAACATTTGCACACTCTGCTTCTTTGATGAGAAATGGCCCAGCATTCGTGGCTTTCCATGCCATCTCTTGATAGCCTTTAACGATGACAGAATACTCCCCGAATCACTCGAAGATAACCATCATTCCTCATAACATGCTGTGCCGTTAGGACTTTCTCATTCCAAGTCTTCTGACTTTGTTGCTTTGGAATTGCTTTTTCATAATTCCCAACATTCCACACACTTTTTTCAGAAACAAAGAAAAGGAATGTGCATCTTTATTTTTTCATGTAAAATAACTTCATAAAAATGACTCCCTACCTACATTATGAAGAAGAAACTGGCTCTCTTATATGGTATAACACTCCAAAATTAAAAGGTTGTGCATGTCTAAGGGGTTGGATATATTTTGTAAAACTCTGACATTTGTATTTCTGTGCTGTTCAGAAATTTACCTTTTTACTTATACTAATTAAAGATATAGAAAACTATATATTTAAATCATGTAAATGGAACACAATTTAAGGGGGTTTCCAATCTTATTTCTCATCAGCTTCTCATGCACATACTATGCTGCTCAAGTTTCTTTAGTGTGCAATATAAACATTTGAACATTTCAAGTCAGGTACTGAGCCAGAAAAGGTCATTGAAGTTTTCAGAACACTGCTTAGAAAATATTTTATTTTCTTGAAATACTGTTCTTTTATAGCTAGAAAAGCAAGATTAAGAATTGCATGTTTTAGTCCACTTGATCATCATTTTCTAAATTTAGGAAGCATTTGATTAATGACTTGCTGAAGGCACTTAGTGGTTGGAAAGTAGTTTCTAAGGAAGTTTGGTGATAGCACATATTTTATCAGAGAAATGGCTTCCCTTTCCTCTAGTAGTTTTGTAGTTTGTGCTGATTCATTCCTGTTGTCATTTGTTTTTTTAAAAGTGTATTCAAGTTACAAATCATGTCTAATCATGCTGAACTGTAGAGATTCTATTGTACCTTTATTTTAAGCAAAACGTGATAATAAAATTATCCTGTTTCTCTTGCACACTTGCTGTTGATCTCCTAGACTTATCTGCGTGTTGTCTGTGTGGTTTCTGGCCTTCACAACTGGGCAACAGTGCATTCTTCATTTGTCAAGAAAGCAGCACATAGGTGAACTGAAGGACTCACCACTCAGATAGCCTCCTCCTGACATTGCTTGTGGTGGAACCTCTGCTTTCTAGCTGTGACCTCTGCAGGAAGAGCCCTATGGCATCTGTGGAGCTCTGAAGACAGGATGCTGCACAAGAACTAAGGAGGTTGGTCATGTAATCACCTCACGGACAAGCCAGGAAAGGAGGACGCTGCACTTAAAGCAGCGTTTCTCCACTTGGACTTGTAAGGTTCAAAATATTACACTGAAGGTTCCAAGCACATTATCTGTGCACCCTGGTTCTGATACAACTATTGCACGAAGGAAGGCCTTTGTGATACATTTCATGAAATAAGTCGATAAATACCCCTTTTCTGGGGACATGTGAGTGATGTGATGGCACAAGGCTAAGTGTTCTTTCATATGACTTGTAAGTGTTTTGGAGCTGTTGAGATGACAACTAGCCATCTCCTTCCTCCTGGTTACCTGCTCAATCTGAGTCCCTGTCCTCACACAGGTTAAGAACTGCCTAGAGCCGGGCGGTGGTGGCTCACGCCTTTAATACCAGCACTCGGGAGGCAGAGGCAGGTGGATCTCTGTGAGTCTGATACCAGTCTGGTCTACAAGAGCTAGTTCCAGGACAGCCTCCAAAGCCACAGAGAAGCCCTGCCTCAAAAAAACAAAAACAAACAAACAAAAAAAGAACTGCCTAGTCCTCACTCTGAGGGGACAGTGGGAGATACAGTTTTTGAATCTAGTAGCATCTGGAACAGACATGACGTAGGAGTCAGGTCTTTATGAAGGAGAATCTAAGGCAGTCCGCACAGGGTTGTGGAGACACATTGACAAAGCTAACCTGCCTGGTTTCTCCATCAAACCATCCAGCACATATTCATGTTTTCATGATCATGGAATCAGGAGACAGAATTACAAATTGTCTTCATTATGGGGCTACAAAAGGAAATGGAATTCAAAGGGAACACAGACTCACTGAATGCTGGGCAAGGTGGAAGCTGCCATGTCCTGCCCATCTGCCCTGGGGAGATGTGAACAACACAAGCTTGCTTCTGCTCCAACCTCCCAAGAGAGCCAGCATGCTTCTCTCCACTTCACACGTACACCATGCCCTAAGGGCCAGTACCCCAAAAGCTATAATGAAGTCCCACAACATGTATGTATATCTGTATGCCACATGGGTACCTAGTGCCTGCAGAGGCCTGAAGGCGGCATTGGATCCCCTGGAACAGGGATTATAGATGGTTGTAAATTACCATGTAAGTGCTGGGAACTGAATTCACGTCTTCTGGAAAAGCAGTCAGTGCTGTTAACCACTAGCCCCTTTTATCTTGGTTTCAAAGAGTCAGAGTCTCAACTCCTTTGTGATACTGTCCTGTTGGTATGGCTCTACCACTGTTTGTCCAGCCAGCTGTAGACTTGGACTTGTTTCCAAGTGGGGGCTACAATGCACAGCGAGGCTGCTCGGCATGTTCTCTGTGCCTGTGTACAGGGTGTGAATGTGCAAGAATTCCAGGGTCCTGAAAAGACTCCCAGAGTGTTTGGATTCCCATTAATTCTGTGTTACCATTATTGGTACTACCAGACTTAAACTTGGCCAGTCTGGTGAGTGTTTCTCTAAACATGGATAAAGTTGGGAGGCATCTCATTCATTTCTACTTTTGAACTATTCCTGTTGGCAGCCACATGTGGTGACACACACTTTTTTCTTTTCATTTGAAAATAGATTTTTTAGTTACATTTTTATTTAAATTTTTTTATTTTACATACCAATCCCATTTCCTCCTCTCCCCTTCTCCCACCTCTCACCTCCCCCCTTTTCACCTTTTCTGTTCACTCCTCAGATGGGGTAAGGCCTTCTTTGGGGAGTCAACAAAGTCTAGCATACCAAGTTGAGGCAGGACCAAGACCCATCCTCTTGTATCAGTGTTGAGCAAGGTATCCCACCACAGGGAGTGGGCTCCACAAAGCCAGTTTATGTATCCAGGATAGGTCCTGATCCAAATGCAAGGGCCCTGCCCTCCAACAGATTAGGCCATGTAACTGTCACCCACATTCAAAAGGCTTAGTTCAGTCCCATTCAGGTTCCCTAGCTATCAGACCATAGTCTGTGAGTTTCCACTAGCTCGGGTCAGCTGTCTCTGTGGTTTTCCCCATCATGATCTTGAACCTGCACCCTTGTTCTATGATAACAATTAGTGTAGTCACTAATCTGATTACAGGGGAAGGCCCATTCAGGCACTCCACTGTTGCTAGGAGTCTTAGCTGGGGTCATGCTTATGGATTCCTGGGAATTTCTCTAGCACCAGGTTTCTCCCTAACCCTGTAATGGCTTCCTCTATCAAGATATCTCTTTCATTGCTCTCCCCCTCCATCCCTCCTTCAATTCAGCTTTCTTTTTCCCTCATGCTCTCATCCTCCACCCCTCCCTTCTACCCCACCTCCCAGTTTACCCAGAAGATTTTAACTATTTCCCTTCCTGGGGTCCTCTATGTCTGTCCCTCTTTTTACTTAGCTTCTCTGGGCTTGTGGATTAGTGACACACACCTTTAATCCCAGCACTCAGGAGACAGAGGCATACACATCTCTGAATTCAAGGCCAGCCTGGTCTACAGAGTAAATTATAGGACAGTCAAGGCTACAGAGAGAAACCCTGTGTCAAAAAACCAACAAAAAAAACCATTGTCTTATGTTCTCTCTCTCTCTCTCTCTCTCTCTCTCTCTCTCTCTCTCTCTCTCTCTCTCTCTCTCTCTCTCTCTCTCTCTTCTCTCTCTCTGTCTCATACACACACACACACACACAGAGGCACACGCTCTGTCTTAGGCTGTATTGATATAACAAACTATCCAATGTGGTAATATATGAAGAATAGGAAGTTATTTCTCATCATCCTAGATAACAAGAATCCAAGATTCTTGTCCATTGTCTTCACTGGGTCCATTGTCTTCAGAGCCTCTTCCAAGATGACTTCTGTCTTAGTTAGGGTTTCTATTGCTGGTCTTAAACTCTGCTAGCCTCTGCCTTCTGAGTGTTGGCATTAAAGGTATGTACCACCACACCAGGCCCAATGCTTTTCTTTAATTCCTTTTGACACACAAGTTGGAAGCTCTTGCTCGGAGGCCACCACTCCCTTTATTCCACTAAACTTCAGACTTTAATCTGTTTGCGCTTCCTGATGTTCCCTTTCTCTTCCAACTGTACATTTTGTAGTTTTACTTGGTCAGCTTGCTCCTTTTCATTACAGGTTTGCATAAGACTGGCCACTAATAGTCACACAGCACAGTCAATACTAGCTTGTTTGGAACTATCCTCTGCCAAAACTGTTAATCCATGACTCTTCAGTTTATCCTCAGGCAGATGTTTTTAAGTTAGGGCAGAAAGCAGCCACATTCTTCACCAAAATACTACAAGAACTATCTGTAGGCCACATACTAATATTCTGCTCTCAAACCTCTTGAACTGGGCCCCCACTGTTCAAATCACCTTCAGTACCACTGTCTTCTATCCTCCTACTAGTATGGGCCATTAAGCCAAGACTTAAAGCATTCAACTGCTTTTCTAATCCATGGCAAGTCTTATAAAGGAAAACATTTAACTGGGGCTTGCTTACAGTTCAGATGTTTAATCCGTTGTCATCATGGTAGGAAGCATGGTGGCATGCAGGCAGATAAGATGCTGAAGAAGTAACTGAAAGTTCTTTATCTGGATTGGCAGACGGCAGGAAGAGAGAACAGCACTGGGCCTGCCTTGAGTGTCTGAAACCTCAATGCCCACCCCCAGTGACACACTTCCTCCAACAAGGCCACACCTACAGTAATGCAACTCCCTGAGTCTGTGGGGTCCATTTTCATTGAAACCACCACTTACTACTCCATCCTCTAGAGCAGTGCTTCCCAACCTTCCTAATGCTGCCATCTTTTAACACAGTTCCTCATGTTGTGGTCACCTCCAACCATAAAGTTATTTTTGTTGCTACTTCATAACCATAATTTTGCTACTGTAATGAATTGTGATTTTATAAACCTGATATGCAGGATATCTGATATGTGACCCCCATGAAAAGGGGTCAAACCCATAGGTTACGAACCACGGCTCTAGAGGGAGAAGTGTCCTCACAATCATGAACACAGGAGGATTTTTTTTTTTCGAGACAGGGTTTCTCTGTGGCTTTGGAGGCTGTCCTGGAACTCACTTGGTAGACCAGGCTGGTCTCAACTCACAGTGATCCGCCTGCCTCTGCCTCCCGAGTGCTGGTATTAAAGGCATGCGCCACCAACGCCCGGCCACAGGAGGGATTTAAAAAAATGTTTTTTAATTTAAAGACTTAAGTTCCCTCCACCACACTTTTTGTAAGAGCACCTAGCTCCACTTATGAGGACTGTGCCTAATGAGCAAACACTTACTACTATTTCTCTGGAGATGAACTTTCAACGTGGATTTTGAAGGGGACAGAGTCTTTCAAACTGTGACACATAAATGGGTATTTGCGTTCTGCATACAATTTCTTTGTCATTTTGTGTTTTCCTGTGATTCGTTCTTTATGATGCCTTGGTGACTAGAGTTTTGTTTTACAGTTTGTGTATATTGAGGGGTGGGTGTTCAGTGCACCTTGGCACATGGAGGCCAGAAGAGGGAATCCAGTCTACCAGTGCGGGAGTTGCCGATGGTGGATGTTGTGAGCCACATGAAGTGGATGCTGAGAATTGAACTCTGGTCCTCTGCAAGAGTGTTATGCACGCATAGCCACTGAGCTTCTCTCCAGTTCATGAACAGAGTTCTTAACCTAGTCAAATTTACCTACTTAACAGTTAGAGATCTTGGGAAAAACTCTTCAATGTTGGAGAAGTTATCTAGTCTTGCTGTTCACATTCAGGACTATCTGGCTTTTCTTCTTTAG